CAATTACTGATATTATTTTGTTGTAAATAGAAGTATTCTTGACGTAAAAAAGGTTAATATAGTCATACATTAATAGAAATCAAGAAAGAAAACATTTGTCTCGGTAGCTAATATTTTTCTGATTTATTGATGCAAACTGATGATGTCTTTGATTGATTTCTACATTTTAATGTGATGTATTATATTGATCAATAAAATGCATTCAACATGGTCATGTTAATGTCTTAGTCTTTATTGTTATCACAGTAAAGTCTAGTGCTCATTATTTCACAATCAATATCATTATTCTAACGTATACATTTTATATTAACATGTTGTGCTGTATGTGAATAAGAATAGGCTAAGAAATACAGTCCAACTTTATCTTCATGCTTACAGCCGTTTGATTGATTTTCTGATGTAAATAGTAAAACTAGAGTTATTGATTACAGCCTTGAGCGAACTTAAAGTATCCAAACTAAACATTTTTTCAATTAGCTATTTTTAAAATAAGCTACCTATTAAGACTAAGATTGATCATGAACATTATTGTATGTTTGCGATACAGAAAGGGCGATTTGCGTGAAAATTAATCAAAAAATTGACTCTGGAAAATTACATTATGATATTAAATTTTTCAACCAATTGTATTCGCTATTACAACTTGTTTATAACACGATCATGTCATGTAATAATATTTCATCAATGAAATAAAAATAGATCCAACAGTAGACTATTTGCTATATGACATGACAACAAAATAGGAAGTTATCAATAACCAGAGAAAAACAAATACCTTGATGCATACAGATTCAATTTTATCGAATATCATCAATATATCCATTTCAGCGACACAATCCTCTACAGTCGTGAAAAAGGATTTGAATGAGCAGATGAAGAGAGAAATTCAGTTTAAGTAGCTGCAATATTTTTTACTCAGCTACTCCATTACATTAAGAAAAAGATTGTTATTCATGCTAAAATAGGGTACAGAATGGAGATTATTGTTTTGTTCATTCTGGAGCCGTATCTTTGGACTTTTTACAAATCAACTTGAATAATTGTATGCACTCCTTTTTTATTAAGTCAGCTAGATTAGTTGTTTTCCTATTATAGTTATAACTTTTCGATGACTTTTGTCATTAAATAAAATTATGCACCTGTTCTAATTACCATCTATTGAAAGGTTACTTCAAGTGATATTGTCATGTTACAGAAAAGTGAATGGAAAAACGCATGGAAAAATAATTATAAAATAGTCCTCATTTAAAATGAGAATCTAATATGAAATGATGGAAAGATCACTCTCTAATTCTTTCTTTCTTGACCTTTCATCCATAGCAAAAGAAGTTTTTAAATATTATCAGCATACTTGATATTTCAATCGGAACGATTAGTGTACGATCAGCTTGATTTTTGATTAGTCTATTGTTGAATTTGTATCAAAATAGGATCAAATATTTATAACCACCAGGATTGATGATACTGTCGATTTAAGCTAATTAACAATAGCCTGAGTGAGGAATCGATGTCTGTTGCGACTATTATAATAATAATTGAAATCAGTTTTTAATAGCTTTAGTGTCTTAAAGTGATTGATTGCCATTTGCCCATTGATATTTCAATCAAATGATAGATTTAGAACTTACGTTTGTTTTCATGTCTCGCCTAGCTTTTGTTCGATCCTACATGTCGTTATTATTGCAATCCATGGTATATAAAAGGTTATCCTTTCAATGATTATTAATTAGTGTATGTTTTATCCTGACAGTTGAATATCATCTTAACTGAAAGCCTTTCAGCCGCAATTGCCATTTAGTCTTGCATACTTTTGATATCGATTCAGTCTTGATTTAACCTTGAAATTACTTTCCGTTTTACCCAGTCGTAACTTTTTTAAGTTAGATTGTTTTCCATTAAGAAATAGTAGAAAGCTCCAATTGAACAAGCTACGAGATTAGTGCATATTTGCATTAACTAGAGTGCGATCCAAGTTACAATCTTATCATTGACGTGAAGAAGATTTAATTTGAAAGGAGAAAGTGGGAAAAGGTTGCTCAAATCTTTTTAACGCTTGCTGTTTTTGGCTGAAGAAGAAGAGGTTAGTAAAAGCTATCCAAATTTAAGTGGATGTTATTCACTTCGGACATTGATCGCCAATCTTTGCACAATTTATCAATCTATTTCTATCACCATTAATTATGTTGATTCAATAGTTTAATTGAAGAAAGAAAATTTTTGTATCCTATTTGTAGTCAAAAGGCCATTTTTACAACTAATATTACTAATAATAACTTGAGGCATGTAGAATCCATCCGAATTTTCAATCACGGTCACCATTACTTATTCCATTTAGGACATATGAATACCACTACGGCCCATAAAACATCTAACAGTTCTAATTCATTTGAATGTAATGGTACTCATTCCATCGATGGTATATTAGGGATATCTGGAGAGAAATCTGGTAAGAGTAAGATAGATATTCTCTCTACCAATTTACTAAGTGAATGTTACCAATGTTATATCTCATCTTAAGATGCCATTCATTATTTGATGCTAATCTTAAGGGAAATACTGACCGCATAGATACGGTTCAATTAATTTTAGTATTTTAAGTCCAAATAGTACCATAGTCTTGATCTCATTTCGAAGACGTATAGCAACTTATGTCAATCTGTTTGAGCTTACAGCGTCTAGTTATTGAAACCCCACATTGACAAACGAATTAAGTTTTACCTAAATTTTATCATTCATCCATGAACTCATATGGCTCAAATGATGGATAAGATTATTTTGCTTTCTTACTATCCTATTTGTGATCATTTTTAGTACGGCATTCTAAGTACTTAATTTTTTTCAGTAGTTTCAGCTTTCAATTTGTATCATGTTCACGTAGAGGGAAGGTGTCAGTATCTCAAAGCTAGACCTTTAAAGAATTATTTATTTTCTCTATCGTTATTCCGTTATAACATTTCTGAGTGTCGGGATTAATAAGCGATTATTAAGCTGGCGCGATCGACTGCTGGCAACGCTTGAAATTGAGTTTAAACCTACTAATTCTTGTCCATAGAACGTTTACCAATATTATTATCATTTACATTAATGATGAGAATATATTTAAATTACTATTTAGAATAGGATGATTCTTATATTGTATAACAATTAGAACGGCCCTGTAGAGAAAAAAATGTGTAGAGTTCGTCTACCTAATGCTATCTTTGTAAATTACAATTATAAAATCTATCAAGATCTACCTATCTATCCTATTTTGAGTAGCATAAAGGTCACTAGCTTATACAGCAAGTATTGTGCGAGAATTTTTCAATTATTTTCGATTGGTTATTCCAAACATTACCCGTATACTTTTTAAAAATATCACAGCTATTGATTATAAAAATCTATCCTGTGCATAGCAAGCGATCCTATAGGTATCATTCAAATTCACCTGTAGTTACTATCTTTTGAATTGAAGAGTTAATTAAAAAGTTTATTCTATTACACTGATTATAGCGTGAAAACGCTATTAGGCTTGAGCGAAATATAATAAACGATCATTAGTAGGACTCCAAGACTAGCCAATCTCTTAGGATACAACTGTATGGTATTTATTAGACTTGGTATTGTTTCAAGATGTAGTCGATTTTAGAAGAAGCCGCAAGAAGTAATTCTTGCATTTAGAATAGATGATTCGCATTTAATATTAAGCTATTATTTAGAAGTGAGGTGATGGAATAATCTGATTTATTGATTCGAAGTGAAGTTGCTTCTAGATGATGATGATTGCAACTCCTTATCGACTGTCTTAATATAGATTAAACTAGTTATAAATCATTCTAGGCTCAACTTTTTGCAATTAAAAAGTATAAAATTAATTGAATTGATTATCCGTAGTTATTGTAGTCTTTGCTATTTCGGCTATGACAAGTGTAAAGGTGCAACCAAGTGTTGGAAATTAATGGATTGATTAAAATTATCTAAGACTAATTTCTACATCTTCCCTATCATTAGATAAGGCAGACGATAATCTATGAAATCAATTAACGTAATAAAAACATAAATTATCCTCTCATCGATACACTGATTAATTATTAGAACAGTGTAACAATCATTGAGTGTATTCAATTCTAGTGATAATAGCTCCATAACAAAATCATTGTGCCTTCAAGGTGAATAATAGCAGTCAATAGAATTTTATCTAATGTTCTTGCTTAACTTACAAGCATAACTGCAAATTTTCAAATGAAAAAAGTCTATTCTGTTACAAAATTTTAAAAATATTTTTCTTTCATTTTAGAAGGGATTTAGTGACTCCATCGATTACAGCATCATAATTATTTAATGGCTACTAGAGTACTATGACAATGTAATAATCCTGCCTAAATTTGACCTGTAGAAACCTCGCATCTATATATTCTGATTTCTACGACTGCACAGGATATAGCAATTACGTATTTCGTTTTCAACTCATTTCTCATAAATTAAGATGAATTGGATAACTTCACATTCAATAAAGCAGGAAACTTTAATATTTATTATAATAACATGAATTCATTAAAAGTTAATCATATGAGGATGGAAGATGTTGGTAGATTAGAAATAAATTAAATGTTTTGAAATAATAGGTATTATTAACGAGGTAGGCTGGGTATTTTGAATGAGAAAGAAGGATTAATATTGACAATTGCTAAAAATGAAGGATAAAGTAATAAATAATTGGATGGATGAGTCAATCTAGAGGCTAATTTTAATGTAATTTAACCATCTTAATAATTTTTATTTCTTTCATTGCATAATCTGGTCATAATTGCACAAATGTAGCGAGCGATTTGAAATATAATAAACGAAGTAGCCGATACAGTGACCATTCTGATGACATCGATATGAATCAAAAGAAAAGAAAATTTAATCAACAGGATCAAGATGATGTTCGTATGCCACCACCATCACTTCCTCAACAATCATCTCATCAGCCGACATCCAATGAGAAACCTAGTAAGGTTTTAGTTAGTGGTAAGAAAAGGAAAAGATATCGAACAACTTTTACCAGTCAACAGTTGGAAGAACTAGAAAGAGCATTTGAACTGGCGCCTTATCCCGATGTATTTACTCGCGAAGATTTAGCAACTAAAATTTCCTTAACTGAAGCACGCGTCCAGGTAAGAATTTGTAATCACGGGTTACAGTCATTTTTTTATTGTTATGATCTTAAATTTTGGCCTTGATATAGCTAAAAAACACAATTAATTTATCATTATTTTATTTATGATATGGATAGCACTCGGAGAAAAAATTAAATATCCATTTTTTAATTTTCTGTCGATAAATCGATGCTAGAAGTATTTGGCAACTGTAATTTAAAAGTCAATTTTTTAGCCGAGCACGATAATGACTTAAAAATTAATATGCCTTAATAGAAATATGCTGGATTATTGAATAATCATTTTAGGATTAATAATTATTGGCTTTAATATAAAATGTTGGTTTATTGAATTCATTATTTTTTAGTTATCCGATTTAAACTTGATTCCTTACAGTTTTTCAAGCCAATAGCATTCAAAATACTTCTTAATTCACTATTTTGATGCACTTATGCTAATTACCGAGGTTTACCTGTATGAAGATCTGCCAAATACTAATAATATGTAGCTGTTATTCGAACATGTCACAGATCTTAAGACAATCACTGCCATAAAGTAAAAATATTTCCCGGAAAACTAGTCAATTTGCTATTGGGATGATTGTATTGCAGAATACTAAAAGCGAAAATATCTCTATGATTTCGGGAAAGATGTTAGCATGATGCTTTTGCATAATAATTTAAAGGTCATTAAACGTCTATTATTGCGCCAAGTTGAACATATTCGCCATTATTTCGCTTCATTGTGACTGCAACGGAAGTCGCGATATATTTTATATTGTCATAAACGTATCTAAAGCGTTCTGTACTGGCAATTAATAGTATCGAAAGAAGATATTGAATCATAACTATTCCTTTTAAATTGACGCATATAGGTTGATTTGAGAATTGGCCAGCAATCAGTATTAGTATTCATCGTTGTGTCCTATGCTCCATATGACTATTAAGGTCTAGAACAGATACTTTTCTATTACCTTAATTTTTTAATGTCCGGTATGGTGTTAATATTTCAGATAAAAGCTATACTAGTATCGACACTTTTTATATATTAATTTGGTTAATATATTTTCTTGAGACAATTTGCTACATTATTTTCATATTAACGGTTGGATCGAGGTTAAGATATTAACTGCTTGTAGCCTGAATATTTTTATCATTTGGCGGGTATTTTTTATTATTATATTTCCGTAATTAAAAGTAGATTCTCTATATAGGTGTTATTAGAACTAAATTAGATAGATATATTGCAAACGAAGTAAAGAAATTGATGCAATTTAACACTATACTAAACCTTGGTGGTGAAAGCGATAAACTAAGTTATTCTAAATACATTGCATAATTGATTTATGATAGGTTTGGTTCCAAAATAGGCGTGCCAAATGGAGAAAAAAAGAAAAATTTGTCAATAACAGCAATCGAAATGGATCAATTGTCCACTCCAATGTTTATGCTCCATTTTATCAAAGTAGCCATGTTACTAGCTCTTATCATCCTAATATCATGTATTCCAACTTTACAACAGGTGAGATGCTCTTCCTCAGATTTTTAAACATTGATATGATTTATAGTAGAGTGGATGAGTATGTAATAACAAATGTAATATGAATAGTGGGATATCTTGTCACCTTATGAACTGTCTGACTCGTAAAAAATATATCAAAGGGACCTCATTAAGTCTAGTCTTACGAATTCTTGTTATAGAAGTATATCTAATATGGCTTTTATTGACTTCAATTTTATTATGCAATCAATAATTCTTTGTCTATACTTAACATTTTCTGATATTAAATAGCCCGTATTGTAATTAATCCAAAGCATAATCTTAAATAGACTTCCGTTATTGTTTTGTTTTCTCCCTTCATAATCTGAATATTGTATTTCCAATAATTTATTACCAATCGCTTTTTAAAATTAATAATTCATATTTTACTGTACCTAAAAGATATTTGTGATGGTTAAGATTGGCTACGTTAGATTTTAGAAAATTAACAAAACAGTCGTTATAGCCTAGAAAATAACTCAAGCATAACATTAGGCTATTAAGGTTAACTATCGAAACTAAGTTAACTTCCTTACGAGTAAATAAATTGAATGATAGTTTTCTGTTGCTAGCAGGCAAAGTTGGACAATATTATCATGGTAAAACTATAATAACATCAGGATTAAACGATTCTGAATACACAATAATAGAATTGGATCAAAAGCCTATAGAGTAGCTTGCTTAGATGTACTCATACTTAGCTCCTTCAAATATGAATTGCACAAGAAAACAATGCTGTTATTTCTGATTTTATTGCCAAGTAATTAGTACGTTCATAAATATCGGTAAATAGATTTCGGAAGTTGTCTAAATTCCACGTAGAAGAATAATACCTTATATTAAAGTAAAGCAATAATTGATATTTTTATTAGTCTATTCGCCATATATTCGTAGACATAATGGTGGCATTTTGTTGACATATTAAATATAAATGATTATATCAGTGATTTACCACTAATTATTATTTAAAGTTAATGAATTATGGATGCGGGCTGTGATTAATAAGACCCAAAAAACATGCATTATCTCATTTTTTTTAATTCATTGCAACACTTTTTACTGTTTCAGACTACAAAAGTCGTGGTACTAATAATTAATCTATTAGTGATGCATAAATAGTATGTACCATATCGGTATATGCATAATTCTTAGACATGTGTATATAGCTATCCGGTAGTTACCAGTATGATTAATGATTTCTATTTTCGATGGTGACTGGTTTCCGCAGAATATTTACAAAGATTGGACCTAAAATCTGACTAATAAATAATTAGCAAAGTATGATTAATCGGCTGAAAAATACGTAGTACCGGAAGGTGTAGTTTTTCTTGCAGTCAACTAGGTAATTGTCCAGTAGTGATTCATTTACTTTAAGAATGCTTTATCATATTGGTAGATATCCAAAAGCTGCGAAAATTTACTTTCACTCAAACAGAATTGGATTGACTGACATGTGTTTACACTATGACCGAAATTTTAGTGATTTGAATATTTTTTCTTTAGATTAAAATTATTACTTTAATATTCAGTTAATTAGAGAAAAGCGATATATATAGTCACTAGAGGATTACTATTTAACAACAGTAATTAAACGCATTACCACTGGTATACTAGATACGATTATGATATTGAAGTATGGTGATGACTTCTGGTCATATCAATTATGTATACTATACTGAACCTAATAATTCCTCTTATTTATATCTATAATTACTTACTTGCCAGATGCAATAACAAGTATTCTATATACTTTGACAATAGCTTGAGATTAATGACTTTCAAATAGCTATAACAATTGACTAGAAATTTAATATAATAGCAACTTTTCTTTAATAAAAGTATCGAAAGTAATAATTCAAAATAAGCAACAATTAAGTAAACATTGAGAGATAAGCTAGATAAAAGTTCCCAACAACCTGGCATCATAAGTATCTTAATGTTATGCCATTTATGACAAGCTAAAACCTGCTGTTGGTAGAATCATATTAAATATTAATACAAATACGACAAATAGAAGTAAGAGATTATTCAAATTAATTAATTAATTTTTATCTTTATCCGTAGTCTTATCCATGATTTATTATTAATCAATATATATAGTTATAAATCGTAACATGTACTTTCTTATATATGAATAAATTAAAGATCTTTAAAATATTTCTTATTGCGAATTCCAGTTGTTGAATGAGATGATAGCACTCCCTTAAACCCTTTTAACGCTGACTGATTGATAGAGTGCACAGTTACTTGGAGTAAGCGTTTTTTTTACATGCAGCTCGATGTTGATAGAATACTTTTCCTAAAATGAATTACATCAATACCAATTACTTAGGAGGATTGATTACTTCTTCTGATATAATTTATGTTGCTAATTTATTAACTAGAACTTTCTTTTAAAATATTTTAACTTAGGCGTTCACTTAGATCCAACTGTACCAGCAACTTCATTTTTACATCCTACTCAACGATCTGCTGTTTATCGGCCATTACCATCGGTAGCTGTGCGTGGAGGTACTCAACCTTTCATCGCTGGTCAACCATCAACTGACCACTTAATTAATCGTGCTGGTCTTGGCAAGTAGAGTTTCAATAGTACATTCGAGTATTAAAGGCCTTTGTATGAATCATTGCGAACTATACCTGATCCTAATCCGTTAAGATCTTACTCTTATGGATTGCACATTATCATTCTATCGGTATTTATTTCGTTAATTTAAGGCATTTGCGATTGAGAAAATAACACTCTTGCGGATATCTACTTATAAATCAATCGATTTAATCAAAAGATACCGCAATTGCTAGTAAATTAGTAAAATGGTCTAAAAAAATGGATTTATGAAGTTATTGATTAATACATAAGTATTATAAAGTATTGCCATTTTGGTAACAAAAGTGATTAACTTGGCTTAATTAATTTTTTGTTATCATATCACTATCTATAGCTCTATCATCGTATTAAAGCACTCTTTAATCAACATTATTATTATCATTTTAACATCATATTATATAAGACTATTTTCCGTATTAATAAAGTAATTAGAATAGAAGTAAGGGTGCTGTCATGGTCAGTAACTAAATGATTCAAGCTTTATTCTGAAGTTTTACCTAGATTGTGTTAAAGTTATGTTTTGATTAGTACTCTGAAAGTGCTACCATAGATATCAAATTTCCTAATGTATTAAAAGTGAACAGTAAGTCATGGTCTGGTATAGCTTATGTTTTGAACTTCTACCTAAGTTAACAATAGAGGTTTAAAAAATATTTATTCAGTATAAATATGGAAAAATACCCGTAGATATTAATCAGCCAATTCGTTCTCTTAGTCCTTCTTCTCACTCTCATTGATGCATTTATCGCAAATAATGGACGTTCACCCGCTAATTATTTATTATAATGGAGCTATATTCTCCTGATTAAGTCTAGAAAAGAGATTACATCTTATCGTAGTATAGCATAAATTCTTATTTGTTCAAACTAAATTTGTATTAGTATTATCCTCTGGTGAATCTATGTTTTATTGGTAAAATATTGCTATAGAACTGGAAGTAATCAATAAGGTAGAAGATACTGAGATATTGCAATTAAATTTATGTATTGGTCATCGTAATATCCGCTTAATCTGTAGCGGTTTTGATGATGTACAATAGTGCGATATCTCAGTGTAGCACTTTATTTTAGGTGTAGACTTACTGAACCTCTATGAAAAATTCTCTGCATGACTACAAATTTATCTCTCTGTTAAAACAAGTGATGACGTGATCAACTTAAAGAAAATGTATTAGTTTACTTATGCGATAGATTTTACAAGTAGTAAAAATTGCTGGCATAAGATATGTTATTGAATATAATCGTGATCTTACAACTGTCTAATTATAATTATAATTATGATATTTACGTGTATACTGATATGTTGGTTTATAAAACTACTGAAAGGTAGTAATAATCAAAAATTCCGTTATTGCAATTATTTATATTATACGTATAACTATATTTCAAAAAAGGGTTGCTGTAGCCTGATAGAGCTTGAGGATAACTTTTGAAGTATCTACAAGAATTATTTCATATCTTATGACTCCTTATAATCTTAGAGTCTTGCCATTGATTTATTTTAATCTGCTATATTGCGGCATTTCCGTATCATCACAACTGGTATGAAATAGATTTTGTGATTTATGATCGTTATTTGGTATCCTTATATAGCTACCCATACGTAAATATAGAATTGTTTTTATATGCATTCTATGTCATCTTAAAGATATGTGTATATCTATATCTATATAAATATATACTCCTGTATGGATTGGTATACTATCTATAAATGCCAAAAACTGATAAACCAGTACCGCTTATCATTTGTGATTACGATACGGAAAAGCAATGCTAATTCGGTAGTTTTATTCCTTGGTATGTTTACTAGAAGCTATTTATTCGGGTGATTTATGGTGAATATGGAATGATAAATTTTTTAAAATCTTCTAATGTATTTCTTCGCAAGATGATCGTCCAAATAAATGATTATTTAAACTTAGAGACCTGAGTACTAAGTGAATTTAACACAATGTAAATCAGCATGGTAATTTAACGAGTTTAGGTTTGTAAATTTTAACATCTGCTAAGCAGTTCGTGCATGTGGTACAGAGCTGATACTTACTACCATTGTAAGTCTATCATGAAGTTAATAAATTCGTTTGAATCGACTTATTTGTACTTGTTACATTACATTGTAATTTCAATTATTAATTATGGCTAAAAGGAATGCAATGGAATATTAGAAGGAGGGGCAACATATGCAATTATACATTTGTTTGAAGGGAAATTTGATACCAAGTAACAGCAGCCAGTTATAGATGCAGTA